CCTCACTCAAGCTGTGATGAAACACAGACAGCCTTTCTGAACAGTGAGTGAAGTTGGGGACACAGCCTCACTTGGCTAAGTTAACCCTCAGGACTAAGGAAACCAGAGCATGTAAAGGTAAGGTGGAACCTCAGACCTCTGCCTCAGGATTGCACTGTAACGCGACATTGAGTCTGTCATGGACAGAAAGACCCCATCTCCCTACTACTAAGATATTCTTTATGTTCCCAAAATATTTTATTGTCAATTATGCTAGAAGTAAAAATAATAACAAGACATAGGTCTACCTTCCAAGGATGCAAATCCACTGTGGCCAGCAAGTTTGACTTGCTTCTAATAAGCCCCTTCTCTGAAATCAGAAGAAGCCAACCTCTTCTGTAAATAGCAACATTAAGACCATAGGTCCCCTCAAGAAGAAATCCAGGTCTTCAAAGAGCTCAGGACTAGATGAATGTTGGTTAATCAGACACTAAAATTATCTCAGAAATTTCCCTACCAACAGACAGTTAAGCAGAGAGTTAAAGCAGAGAAAATTATTAGGCCTATGCTACAAATAAGATACTCCCAACCCAGAGCTTGTATCGAGATCCAGACCAGCCGTGACTGGTGGGTCAGATTCTTTTCCATTGTCCTCTGAAACCACTTCTCCCAGCTTGCCATGATCAACTTCAGGTGAAAATTGTCAGAATCAAAATGGAAGCATTGTGGCCTAACATAGAACATCATTTGAAAAATGCCCAGATGTTGTGAAGAACGCAATAGCACATCTGTAGGCCCAATAACAAAATATTCACAAAAGACACTTCTAGAACCAAAACCTTCCATAGAGGCCACCACAACTTCACACAGACAGTACTTCTACGGGAACACCTGCCCAAAGACTCTGTGTTTAACTTCTAGCTGCTGCTGACCTTGTTGTTAATTCTTGTAGCTAATGGGTATCATCTTGAAACAGTTCCTGTAGTCTTCATTTTGCCATTAACAGCTTCCCTTTGCCTCAACTCCCTTAAAAGCACTCATGGCTGATTATGTCACATATATTCCCATTGTGGCAGTGTTTTTCAGAGGAAGAATTCACTATTGTGCCTGAAAATATGTCTGGGGTGTCACTGGATCTTGACTTGGTAGATATTTTTCACTGTGATATAATCTCTAAGCGGGAAGCTTGCAGTGCCTCTGAATGGAGGTCAGCGCGGTGTTAGCCAATACTTACTAAGAAGCCAAACGTTATAAGGCAAAGAATGTTTTTCCCGTAGGAGGTTGTAATCTGTGAGAACACCACCACAGAATGCAAGAGGACACACACCTGATTAGAAAGTAGTTGACGCTCCTTTGTGTGTACAGAGGATGGGCAAGGTCGGACAACTTGATGAGGCTGAGGTAAGTCTGAAGCAGCCGGAATATTCAGGCTTTGCCCCAGAGATAGACAATGAGAGATAGGGGAGAAGGTTGCATTTCTGACAGGGGCCTTGTGAATTTGTTCTTGTCTAGGAACCAGGATGAGCCTCTGTATACAGAAGCAGAAGGAAATCAAGAGCTACTCCAAACTCAGGCATGCCCCCCACGAAACCATAAAACTCCACCGAAGTGGTGGAGAGGGCGCCAGTGGTTCTTGGTTGGGAGAAGGGAAGGATCTTTCATGAATGTGGACACAAAAGGCAAAGCTTAAAAAGAAGTTTGAAAAGCCCCACTTAACACTCACCATATTAACCTGGGGTGTTATGTTGGTAATGCCAAGAAAGCTCTCCCAAAGGTGACAGTTCCCGCAGCTCAGAGACCAGTCACCCACAGTTCCCAAACGTGACCACACACGTAGTTCTGTGAGCAGCTCGTGGTGGCCTGACAGCCAAGCCTCACGTGTGTTTCAGAAAGAAGTTTGTGAAAACCCATGATGCAACTGCAGAAGCGAGGCTGACTGGGGCCTTCGGCTGCTCAGGCAGTGTCGAGGGCAGCTGCCCTCTAGGAACAGGAACAGGAGCTTGGGAAGTTGTCCAGGGGCTCAAAAGTTGAGCTACCCTTAGCCAGGAAAGTATGCTGTGCTTAGACGAGTGCATGCTACTCCAGAGTGAAGGTTTTAATAAGGGGTGTGATTTCCACAAACCACGACTCAGCCTGTGCCATAGGCCAGGAATACTGCAAGACATGGGTATGCTGAAATAAATGAACTGTTTCTGCCTTTTAGTAAGAACCTAGTGTGACAAGAGACCAGCCATCAAGTCTAGTGGGTTTTTTATGAGAACATATGCCTCCTTGGCAACCAGAATTCCTCTATTTTCTTTTTATTCTTTTTTTTTTGCCAGTCCTAGAGCTTGAACTCAGGGCCTGGGTGCTGCCCCTGAGCTTCTTTTGCTCAAGGCTAGCACTCTACCACCTGAGCCACAGTGCCACTTCTGGCTTCTTCTGTGTATGTGGTACAGAGGAATCAAACCCAAGGCTGCATGCATGCTAAGTAAGCACTTTACCACTAAGCCATGAATAATTTCACTAGGCAGAGTGCCTGTGGTTTATGTCTGTAATCGTAGCTCCTCAGGAGGCTGAGATCCTGAGAACTGTAGTTCAAGCCAGGTAAGGACATAAGTGTCTGAAAGACTCTACCTCCAAATTAAACAACAAAAAATCAGGTATGAAGTAACAACAAAAATAAACAAATAAATGAATAATACACTAAATGTAAATGGTCTAAACACATTAAATAATAGATAAAGATTGAGAGAGCAACAGAAAGGGTGATATTGTCCAAAAAGAAATTTATTTTTTACTTCTTTTATATAATCATAACCTTTCTGTACATCACTTTTATGATAATAATAATAATAATAATTTTTAAAAGAAACTTGTAACTCAGGATGTGACACAATAGAATCAGGTTTTCCAAAAAGAAAAGATAGAAATTTTTAACTCAAATTAGAAAAACAACAATGATCTATTTATAACAATAGGTTATAAGGTTAGGGAACTTGTGGTTAACATTGTGTAAATAAGAAGCTGGAAAGAGCATTGCTTCCGTTCTATATCCAACCAAAAAAATCAGAAAACCTACATGTTCACATTTCCTGAACCTATCAGAGAGCTGAAGGCTCAGTATAACCATCTATTGCAAACTATAAGGAAAGGCAGGAGAGCAGGGGTGAGCATTTGCCTCCGTACCAGGCAGACAAGTGGAATGAGTCTTGAACCACACTGTGGGCCATCACAGAGCTAGAGCCTGGCCATTGTGGTCACAGGTGCGTCAGGTCAAGCTCCACTGTCTTCTCTGTACCAAACCAGCACAGAAACGAGCCGCTCCCCACCATTGCTTCCACCTCATGAAGACATGTCCTGGCTGCTTTCCTCACACTTCAAGCATGCCTCTACCTTTCTTACTGGACCTCAGTTTCCCTCCCTGAAGACCGTGGACATGTGTAGCTGAGGTGAGCGTCGAGGTCCATGCATGCTGGGTTGTGCTTCCTGCCACTCAGATACAGTCTGGTGTGTCTGTCTCCATCTCCACACTTACTCAACTGATACAAAGGCATCCAGCTACCTCCATGGAGCTAGACTCAGGAGCTTCTCGGAGCTCTCAGGAGCGTTTAAGATTGAACACCTTAAAATAAGTTATTACTGGGGCTTCCATGATAAACTCCCCCCTCCCTCGGTTTAGCGACTTGTTCTCAGCAGAAACATGGCATTTGGGAGCTGTTTGTTCCTCTTATGTTCAGATTTTGCAGGTATGTCAAAGACCCAAGTCCTCCCAGCACTGGCTCAGGTCTCTCCTCAAAACCCAGATAACCCTTTGCCACAGAAAAATGCTTCAGCTTCACCTTGAATTCACTATGCAGAGACAGAGTGCAGAGGGTGATATTCCCCACGAATGTCATCCTCATGTAGTATTTCACCGTGCTGAAGCATCACCAGCCATCCTTGGGAATGACTTAGAAACCCAGATGTAACCTTTCAGACATTCCTTTCCTTCATTCTCTCTGCCTACTCTATCATAGAATTCCACTGATGTCATCTCTCCTGCCTGGGCTGTGGAGCTGAGCCTTGTGGGCTCCCTTTCCCACCTCCACATCCACCTCTGCCACCTGCTAGAAAGTTCCATCCCCTCTCCCCTGCCCTTCCCACTCACAGCTCTTTAAAGAAGGCAGCATAGTTAAAGGCTCCACATGATATGAGCCCAACCTGCCCAGTACTTCAGGTCACTCCAGTTCTCCCCATTCCCAGGCCCCCAGCACCTTCTCAGGCCTCGGCCTGCTGGGACCCCTCCTTGATCATCCCTCCAGCTCTTTCTACAGACAGAAATGCCATGGTGGTGTTTTCTCCACCTCCCCTGGGAAAACCACCTCCACCCATCATCTCTCAGCTCACAGTCCATTTTCCTAAGGGATGCAGGCTCTGTCCTACCCAGGTTGAAGACACTGGCTAAACTCTGGTCTTCTTTTTCATGATAGTTTCAATTCTCCATCTGTTGTGTGCTATTTAATTATGAGCTATTACCTCATCACAAGGGGGGGGGAATATGTCTGAATTCATTTATTTGTCACTATACCGAGTGCACAGGTAGATATTTAATAAAAATGTATTTGAATGACTGAACAATGCTGTATATATTTAATCTTAAAACAATCAACATGTCATATTAGCAGTAACCAGGAACTGGGAGGTCTTATATAGCAGTTTATGTTTTCCCACTGGGTGACCTGTGAGAGGGAAAGCTGGTATCTCCAGCATTACCTAATATTCCTCACAGGTGACAGCAGAGTTTGTTCTAGGTGACCTCTGAAAGCCACTCAAGTTTGGAAACCATAGGATTTTCTCATCAGCCTCAGAATAAGCTTAAAGCATGCACATTAGGCAAGAGCAAGGCTTTCCAAAGACACTGTCCAGAGAGGGTCACTTTTTCAGTCAACAGTTTCACGGAGATTCCACTGACAGGTGTGAAGCACTTAAATGCCAAAGCACCTTACAACTTGGCCATGGCACAGAAAGGAAGCCAGCTCCATCAGTCCAACGCGAGTTACCTTCCAATCAGTCTCTGGATTCTTCGTCAAGCCTCATCCTAGAGAAGTTCAGTCACATGATTCCAGTGAATTCACTGTATAATGATTGGTCAGTTTCATCAATGACTAAGTTGATCACTGATAAAATCATGGGGTGAGAGCTTAGTCAATTCTGTCCCCTACTATTTCCTGCGGAGAGGGAAATATATTTACGCTTCCAAATTAACACCCTTAGCCCCCCTTGGTCATTGAGCACTAAATATGTATTCCTTGCAGCTGAAAAACTGAACTCCAATGATGTGGGGTGTAAATGGCTTTAACCCAAGTAGCCACCAGGGGCCAATGCTACAACCCCGAACTGTGCACAACCTCACAGATGGAACATGGGGAGTTTGTGGCACGTAAGAAGTCCCTGGGAGCTGTTGGTTAGCCACCCACAGCTTCCTCTCTCAGGAATTCCCCACATGATCTCTGCAAGTCTGCGCATCCCTCCAGTCCCCTGCTCCCCTGACTGCATCCTGAGAATCAGGCTGTAGGAAGTCGGGCACAGGAGGGCTCAGATGAGAACTGAGGCCTTGCACCTCTGTGAGACCCAAGCATGCCTGGCCATCAACCAACGCTTCCCTGCCTCCGCTCTGTGGACCAGGAAGACAGGAGGAGGCATCTTGACTTCTGAAGGAGACCATGAGCCTCACTTACAACCTTCTGCCTCTCTGTGACATTCCCTCCTAGACGAGCGCTCCTTTACTTCTTTCTGAAACTGGGCTCGCTGGCCAGCTTCAATTCTCACTTATAGATGGTCCTTGTGGCTTCAAGTGGGAGCAAAACTAGTTAACAGTGCAAGACTCTTTTACAGGATGTAAGTTAAGTCCATTAAGATTGTTTGTGTGTTAAATAAACCTGAGAGACACATATGTGTCATATGAAATACACAAGCACACAACTCAATCACCTAAGCAACATACATGAGGTCAGTGTCCTAGGCCCAGTATTTAACTCAAGCAGTACAACCACACATACAACCCACAAACATACACACAACTCTACCACCGGAACACTCACACCCACGTCACCCACTCCACCTCCTACAAACACATACTGCATTCCTACACAATGTACACATGTCATCATACCACAGAACTACACCTCTTATACCCACACACACCTCTACACACAATGCCTCCTACACATGTATCACACACACACACACACACACACACACACACACACATTCACAGATTATAGGGCCATGCTTTTGAAAGTTTTTATCTTGACCCTGGACCCTTTTGCTTTCCATCTGTCTGTCTGCATGTCTGTCTGTCTCCCTCTCCCTCTCCCTTTCCTTCTCTCTTCTCCCTCCCTCCCTCTCCCTCTCACTTCCCCACTCCCTCCCTCTCTCCCTGACTGCCACGAAGCTCACAGCCACCTTCTGCCGGCCCCTCCCAGCCTCGGGCTCTGCCTCACCCCAGGCCCACAGTGCTGGAGCTGAGACCATGGACTCAAGCATCTGGAATCAGCAGCCAATCAATCTTTCCTACCTGAAGTTGATTACATCAGCTCTTTTGTCACAGGCCCTGTTATGGTTCAAAGAGTCCTCATCCTTCCTGGAAGGAGGGGATCTCAACATTGAAAAGGAAGAGGCCAGAACAGGAAACTCACCTGCCCACCCAGGCTGTTAAAACCTGTGCACCTGCCCCACTCTGCCCAGGAGCAGCTGGATCTTTCCCTGACATTCACAGCCTTTGAGAGTCTGGACCTCTGCCACCCACTGTCCTCTCCTCTCCCCTCCCCTCTGCTACCCACTCTCCTCTCCTCCTCTCCCCGTCTACCACCCTCTTTCCTCTCCTCCTCTCCTCTCTACCACTCTCTCTCCTCTCCCTGTCTACCACCCACTCTCTCCTCCTCTCCCTGTCTACCACCCTCTCTCCTCTCCTCCTCTCCCCTTCTGTGCACCAGACTTGTGCTTACCCGAACCATCAGGACCCTCTGATCTTTGGAGTTTGCTCCTTCCTGCTCCCCTGGCTGGCCCTGGCTGCTCTCCCTCCACCACTACCACACAGATGCACGCCTGGCCAGCTGACCTCCTGCTGCTGTCTGAAAAGTTGCTTGGCCATGGCTGTCTCTGGGGAGCCCCCGAGGCCTGCAGAGCGGAGCTGCTCTTTCCCTGGCTTCCCTGCCCTCTGGGCCATGCCTGGGCTGGCATCAGGCTGTTTTGCCTTCCCGTCCAGCCGGGGCTCTCTGCAGGCGAGCGAGCTGTCCCCTGCCTGTGGCCTGGGCTGGGGAGCACAGTGCCCTCTGCTGAGGACAAGTGTAGCAGTGCCAGCCCTGCATCCTGTCCACAGCACACGCCCCTCTGCGTCTTTTAGGTGGCTGTTGTCTTAGAACTTGGAGAAAACAAATCCGAAAACTAAAGAAGCTAGAACGTCACTGTCCCCTCAGCCGCTCCTGGGGGGGGGCGGTGTTAAATCCACAGGGAGGCAGAGGGGGCAGGAACCCCAGCTGTAATCAGAGCACTGCCCGCCCGGCATCCCTGGGGCTCCCCACTTTCCTGGGGGCCCAGAGATTTCCATTTTTTAAGTGGCACCAACACACCCCGTTCCTGGTTCTCACTCTCATTTTCCCCATAGACGTTCAAAAAGGCTGTGGGTGGAGAACATCACACATCATTGCTCTGCGGCTCTGCGGCAGGTGCTTGTGCTCTGCTCACCGTGAGCCCCGTTGTAAGTCTGAATGCAGTAAATGTCAGGAGGTACAACCCAGAGAAACACTTATCCTCGGGGGCATTCAACAATCCACAGGAGGGTGAGGAGCTCCTGTGACCAGAACTCTGGAGAATGGGTGTCCTGGAGACATCGGACATGGCAGGCAGACCAGGGTGGGTCCCAAGCTTTAGACACTAGCCTGTTGCTGAGTGGTGACTGTTGCTGAATGGCCACACAGAGCAACTCAGACCCTGCCAGCAGTTACCACAGCGAGGACCTGCAGGGAGTGGAACAAAACCAGCTGTTAAGAGATCAAAAGGGACCAGTGCAGTAACACACATCTGTAATCCCAGCTACACAGGAAGGATAGGTTGAAGGATCATGGTCTGAGGCTGGCCAGGGGAAAAATCACATATGAGAGTCTGTTGGAAAAATAAATGAAGAAAGCAAAACTACCTTCAAAGCATGACTCAAGTGGTCGATGACATGAGCCTGAGTTCAAAGCCAGGTACCATTAGGAAAAAGCTAAAGACAAGAAAGCACAAGGAAGGAGGAAAGGAGACCTTGGAGAAGGGAAAGGTCAATCTGTAATCCTGCCTCACTTGGGAATCCGGAGTGGATGCGTAGCCATCTCTAGGAGCTGGTCGTTGACATTCTGACAGCAGCCTTGCCTTCTTGTTGAAGATCCAGACTGCCAGCTGCCTTCGCTGTGTCAAATAACCCTGAGCTGGGAAGGGGGTTTGGAGGAAGAGCTTTCAGAAAGCCCGTGTGCCTGGCAACAGGAAGGAGGCAGGACCCATTTGCTTCTGGGACTTAGAGGGCTTGTCATCAATTCCCACAAAACACAGCAATTTCCCCAAGCTGCCTCGAGGGTCCTAACACATTAGTCTGTCAGATTTCACTGAAAATGTCGATCCTCCGATGACGATCCTCCGAGGCCCGTGTCACAATAAAACCGCCACCAAGAATGCTTGGTATCTTCACACAATGATTCTAAATTCATAATGAGGAATATAGGTGTGCGTGGATAACGTGCGAAGAGGCGATCTAACTAAATATTAAAACGACTTTTAAACTAAATCAAGCAAAAGGCATTGTGGTATTCGTGTACACAGTGTAATCCATTTAAAACAATAGGAGAGGACAGACAGCTACAGAAAGCATACCCTTCCCTGTCCTAAGATTCGTACATGACGTCTTCAGCACAACCACCACCTTGCATCACAGAGGGAGGTGGATTATTCTGGGTGATTCATGTTCAAGAAAACTGAAGAGCAACTATACCAACATTTGATCTTCACCTCGTACCTTACAACAGAGATTCCTACTTTTGGCATTATATAAATATGTTTTCTATTCCTTCTTTGCCTCCTTTCTTCCTTCCTTCTGTCATTTCTTCCTTCCTTGTTTCCTTTTCTTTCTTTTTTTTTTTTAAGTACTTGGGCTATCTCTGCCACTGAGCCATGGCTCCAGTCCATTTTTGCTTTAGTTACATTTCAGATACAATCCCGTGTACATGCCTCTTATTTATATTTCCAGCTTCTTTTTGGTGGGGTTGAGATGGGTTTCCCTAGTATTGGGGCTGCCATGAGCCATGATTCTCCCCACATCTGCTTCCCCAAAAGCAGGGATTACAGGTTTGAGCCATTACACCCAGCCTAGAAAGAAATTATAAAGGAGGAAAATGTAAGTGAATCTTCCATGGATCTTTATAGAATGGATGCCCTGAACATTGAAATGATAGAAAACAAAACCAAAAAAATATTACTGGAAAGTTTGAATGATGCAACAACTGACATAACACCACATAATAAAGCAGATGACACAAAATCAGTACCCGTAACACATAGTGAAAAGTAGTTTGTCATCAGCAATAAAACAGCTAAACACTTTCTTTCTTAAGTAGATGCGGATGAGTCAAGAGAGAAGTCACAGGACTATCACCAGCGGCAATACATTTGAAGAGAGATTCAGCTTGTGTGTTAGCAGACAGCAGTGTGTGGTACCAGCAGCACCCAGGTGTCCGCCCTCAGGAGAAAAACTGGGAACATTGTATCAAGAATCTTGCAAGAGTCAGCATCCTGCTCACATACAGATTCTAATTTTATTATGTCCATACTGAAGCGTCGTCTTCAACATTTATCACAAGAAATAGGCAATGCTTGATATTTCTGAGCTTTCCTTTCTCAGCTGAAAACGAGAATTAACAACATACTTGGTGGACAAATGATGCACACAGACCACGCATAATAAGACTTAGCACACAGTACACACTTCCTACAAAGCTGACTCTCCACCCGCCTTGCACCTGGGAGAGTCTGAGAACAACATCTCACTGTTTTTGATGCTGCTCTTCCTGCCAAGGACACCTGCTGCCCGTGGTCTTGCAGCTACCATCAGATGCACCAAAGCAACTCTCTCTCCAGTGCTGGCCATTGTGGACATTTGAGTGTGCACACGACAGTTCTCCAATTGAGCCTGGTTCATCAAGATCGCAGAAGCTTGCTTCTTAGCATGGATATTTGCAGACATAATTGCTCATGTCTAGTTCCCAGTACACACGGCAAATAATTTTGCAAATGATATAAGCACAGGAAGGAGTCATGTAAAGATTCAGAATATGTGTGTGCATAAACACATAATAGATTATAAATTATGAATTCATAAATCTATGCCTACATACTGTTTTATTTTTTGGCAGTGCTGTGGTTTTGAACATAGAATCTGGCCATAGGTAAATTATTGTAAGGAATGTAACTTACTGTTTAATTCATTCCTGCTTGAGTGACAGATACTCTACCATTTGAGCCATGTCACCAACTCTTTCTCTTTTTTTGCTTTAGTTATTTTTCAAGTTCTTCCATTCCCGCCCCCTCCAGGGCCAGTCTCAGACTACGAGCTCTTTATTCTGCCTCCCAAGTAGCTGAAACCACAGCTGTGGTACTCTGCTGATTGATTGTGATGGGGATCTCACTACGTTTCACCCAGGCTGGGCTCAAACTGTGATCCTCCCAATTTCTACCTCCCAAGTAGCTGGAAGGTAAAACATGGTTCCTGGCCAATAGTACATACTTTATATTAATTATAAACATATAATGAATTAATAAGGCATAACAAATGCATACGAGAACCTAAGTAGGTATGAGGAAATAAGCCACTCTCTGTAATCAGATTCTCAACTTTATCCAGTAGTAAAATTGGAACCGCTAAGGTATTTCAAAGTATATTTGCATTCAGCATCTCAGAAGTGCAGATATGTCATCACATGGGGTGTATGTAGAAAAGAGTTCATACTTACATCTGAAAGTCCTAGTTATTAATGCCTACTAATCTTCTGATATAAATTTTGAAATATCAGTACACATTGGTAAATGTCTTTGAAAATGTGAGCACAAAGAATATACCCATAGGTAGATTACTGTAGGGAGATTCATCTACTTTTTGGTTCATTCATTTATCAGAATCTCAAACATGAAGCAAACATTTTCAAAGTCCTTAAAAAACCCAACACACAAATGACTCAGACTACAGATGTAAAAACAGAAATGTGACTTTAATACCATGGCCCCTTACAAAGGAATTTGGAAAGAATTGAATCAAAGACGTCTAAAATAAAACAACTGATTATCAGCCTACAAACAATGCTTTGCTCAGATATTTTCTGGGGGATTTTTTGGTTAATTTTAAAACCTCGTTTGAGCTAGTGCATTCTCCCTTGATTCTCAGAATCATTTATCAGATCATTTACCTATGAGAGGAAAGCTTGATATGTCAGCATTGTCGCTAACCTTCTCCTGTCCATACAGTAGTTTTTATTTCTTTAACTTCCAGAAGATTTATATTTGGAGGAAAGAAATTCCCATCCCTGAACATGTCAGCCTAACCACAACACCAAAATATCTCACCCCTGATGTACCTAAAACTCAAACTAAGCTGTACAAATGGTTCAGCCCAGGTCAAAATGTTGGCCTTGTCCCTCTGAAACTAGTTCAGAGACATTATTCGTCTTGGTTTTTTCTGTCTCTTTTCAAAATCAATCCCCTAGGCTGCTCAGTAATAAGAGGAGGTGAGGTAAGCCACTCCTCTTCCCAATTAGAGACCTGGCTGTGGGGAAGGAAATA